TTGATTGTAGGCATTGTCATGCAGGGTTCATTATTCCAACGTCAATAATTTCATCAAGCAGACTTTTAATTTTCCCTCATTCGATTGTTCCACTTCCTCCTCTCTTTTCTCCCAAACTTGCTTCCATTCAATATCACATTTCTAACCCCCTTTCTCGGTGACAATGGTACATATAAAGGCAACCAAAGGAAGTGAAGTGGAAATAGTCAAAGTAAACAAATTGAAAGTGATTGTGCCTCTCCTATCTTTTTAAAATGCTATTTTAATTCCTCTTTACATATCAACAATCAGAAGGGAAAATTTTCGAACTATTTCGAGGAAGCATAATCTCAATTTTTGCATCTGATATATAGCTATTTAACTAAACAAAAGGATAACTATCCAACTTTACAGATCTAATATATTGTGCAAAACATGTCGTGAAATTATACACATAAAATACACAGATCTAATTAATTGCTTTTCAATTTACCTATCAACAAATACAACGCAAAATTTTCAAAATTCATCATACTTGACCAAATAAAATTCTATTTTTTCATCAGATCTACAAAAAATAGAAGAAAACACAAAATGAATCTAAAAAATTAAAGAGAAGATCACGGGCATCACTGTCGTGATCCCGTGACTGCCGTGGGAGAGACTAGAGAGGACGGGCGGAGAGAGCACGGGAGTCGGGAGAGAGCTTAGAGACGGAGGAGTGACGGGAGGTGGGAGAGAGCTCAGAGAGGGAGGAGTGTAGTGGAGAATTGAACGAGGGTTTCTTTCTTTTTCATTTCATTAAAAAAAAAATTTTTTTATCTATTCTCAACGCTTAACAAACGTTGCAAAAAGTGAACTTTCCGCAACACTCAATAAACGTTGCAAAAAAGGGGTCTATCGCAACGTTTGACAAATGTTGCAAAAGAAAAGCATTTTGCAACGTTTGTCGAACGTTACGAAAAATAAAACTTTTCGCAACACTCAATAAACGTTGCAAAAAAGGGGTCTATCGCAACGTTTGTCAAATGTTGCAAAACGCTTTTCTTTTGCAACGTTTGTCAAACGTTGCGAAAAATAAAACTTTTCGCAACACTCAATAAACGTTGCAAAAGGGGTCTATCGCAACATTTTTCTATAAAACGTTGGCAAAACTCATTTATACTAACCAATGGCAACATTCACTTACTAAAATGTTGACAAAAGACTCTTTTAGTAACATTTATCAACAAATGTTGCCTTTTTAGTGTTGCAAATGACCATTTTTGTTGTAGTGAGAAAATAAGAAAAAGTTTTGAACTTGCGTGTAATATTATTTAATTGAAAAATATATGGTTGAAAAGAAGAGAAAGAAAAATGTATTTTGAAAAAACAAATCATAATCAA